CAAGAAAAGTGCATATATACTGAACCAATAAAGCAACACAGAGTTACTATCAGAACCACAGTTGATAAGCCTTTTTTCGACGTTCAGCGCCTTTGTCAAGCCTGACTAGATTAAAGGCATGCCTTAGGATCACGTTGGTGTGGCTCTTGCACACGAATGCGAATGTATTGGTGCGAAATGGGCCGGCAGTAAAGAAAAAAGGAAAAGAATCCGTCGAAAACGCTCAGGTTAAGGGCTCACTCACCTTCCTAATCGGCTGTGCTAAGGGAATGAGAGACTAAGCGCGGAGAGGAGAGTATGAGGCGAGAGAGCGCTACAGATGAGAGGCGCCAGACAACAGCCTGATAAGAGAAAAAATCTGCAGCTTCAGCAGCTTACTTTGCAAGGCCCAAGCGCTCTTGTCGGTTGGTTTCCGTGCACGGGAACGCCACATTTGTGATTGTCCTCTAGGGTCTATACTACAGACCGAAGAGAAGCGTTCACAGACCTCTGCCTGGGTTGTGCCTTTAAGTGAGTTTCGTAGGGCGACTGATACCTTAGGAATATTCACCAACTGAACATCTTCCTGTAATTCGGCTCTTATTATACCCCGATGGATGGCATTGCTAACCTTATCTGATATAAAAGGGATAGAAGTTCCATCGCGGTACCTCTCGCGGGCCAACATGCTGCCGTCTTCTAGGTTGTGGTGCCGTATAGCCATTTGCAACGGCTATTCTCGCAGCAAGCTGTCGTGATTCTGCTCGCTCGACATCACCTGTTGCCGTTCTGAACATGCTGTTAACAACAGCACGTTTGACGGCAATTGGATGGGCCGATGTCGCGAGAATCTAGATAGTATTCTAAACTTTGTAGTACATTCTGGAGACAGGAATCGCTTTAGCAAGCCGAATCAAGGAATATCTTGCCTGTTTGAGACGCGGTACTGTGACAACACCTTTGGGAAGACATAAGGTTGAGGAGCATAATGGGAATGAATACAAATGCACGCTGCTGGCTCAAGAGACGGAAATTTCCGCGCGGAAGGCATTAGAAGCATTCTGGATATTCACTAGAAATCCAAGAATGAACAGCCGCGATGAGTGTCCTTCAATAACAAATGATCTACTGCCGTTCATTCCGCACTGCGAGCTGTAGAATGACAGAGCGTTACGTGCGTCTCCTAACTATTTTTGACATAAGTAGAGAGTATGGCTATTCTTTATTCACTACTGAGCCTGGTGGTGTAAAGCGTAAATCTAACACTTGAAACGCGTTAAGGCCCCTAAAGACGACGATTCAGTCGAAACGTTCCGCCTGAAGTAATAAATGTTCCACCAAACAACCTCGTAAGGCACAAAAATTTAACAACCTTACAACTGACATGCCGAGGTTACAAGAAAGGTAGAAGTTGGAGAATCCTAAGCGTTAGCATTTATAATTCCAGCGCCACTAGTACTTTTCTTTCGCATTCAAGTAGACGTTAGAGTCAAGGGCGGAGGATTCTTCATAGCTGTGTTTCATTCTATGTTTAGAAGGACTATTGCATAGCCTATGAAACAGAATCTTGATGACCTTCCTGTCTTCAATCCCTTATTGGGCATTTCGCTTATGGATGAACCTTTTGTTTTCTGTACTCATTTCTGGCCCCATTCTTCACATTACACACCCTGAGTTGGCATATTTTATCTTCACTACTATAACTGCAACCTTTTCTACACACGTTTCGTCTTCGTAAGGTCTGAGGTTCATGAACAGTCGTCAAATCAGGTGGTGGAAGGAATATGAGCCGCACTTAGAGCGAGCGTCCATAATATGTCCTTGACGTTCCATGCTGTTTTTTTTTCATTGATGTATGATACTCGATTCACCTATCTGCGTTGCACGCGACTAGTCGGTCTACCGCTGGTGTCCCGAACATCCCCGAATTGGTCGCTGGAGCTCAAGCCTATCAGGTATTTACTTGTGTTGAAGTCAAAATTTTTGATTTTCAAACTTATAGGTCCTACTTGTATTTTTGTTTTTCCATAGGTGCCCTTGGAATGGGTTGTTACCTTTCGTCCCAAATATGTCGAGCTGTGATCGATCTGACCATGCCTCGCGCTACTCATAGCAAGCAATGCTACTAAAACGCCTCCAACCACCCCCAGTCATACGGCAACTGCTTTGATAAATGATGTTGCTCTCAATAAGCTTGATTTTTCCACCGTTACTACTCCGCACTTCAATGGAATTGTGGCTAGAAATGCGACACAAACTCCTGGTTGTGTGGAGAAATTTCTGATACAAAATCGCTAGATGAATATTCCCCACAATATTTTGACCTCTGACCACAAAGTTGGAAGGCGGAGGTGTACCTACCTTAAACTTCTCTTAGCTTCATTTAGAACATATTTAAAGGTTGAAATTGAGTCTGATTGTTTCTGTTCGTATTAGTTGTTTGTGTTCGAGCTTCCGAGATTGATATACAACTTTATTCCGGCTTACGTTTCGGCGCACTCGCCTTCTTCGGAGCCTGCAAATCGAAGCATATTCTTGAAACAATTCATCCAAACGTCATTTCAGATTACAAGAAGAAAAACTCAGGGATAAAAGCCATGAACGATAACGTAACCTTTGGAGGTTAGCGAGTTACGTTATCGTTCATGGCTTTTATCCCTGAGGTTTTCCTTCTTGTAATCTGAAATGGGCTTTGGATGAATCGTTTCAAGGGGGGGGGGGGGGAAAATTTTTTTTTTTTAATTGGGGCTTTTCGATTTGCAGGCTCCGAAGAAGGCGAGTGCGCCGAAACGTAAGCCGAAATAAAGTTCTGTATCAATCTCGGAAGCTCGAAGAGAACCAACTAATACTATACTAATCATGCCGAGATTAATAGAGAGTCGTTCATGGAATATTCTCTGTTCGGTTTTTGAACACATTACGTACCGCGGGCGCCGCATGCTAACGCACGGCTCCTGCTCCATGTAGCCACGTGTGCCACATGGTAGCGCTCGATCTATGTATTGGTTTTTTTCCACAGCTGTTGTCATTTTTTTATTCCATATTTGCGCAGATATCTGTTTTCTCACTAGGAAAACAACAAATTCTTGCAGGACGTCTCCAGCTTTAGATTTAGCTAAAATTCGTGCATGGTGTTTTAATACGAGCCTAGATTGCTGATTAAGTTTTCGTCAATAAAACATACTTTCCAGCAAATTCAGCAACCACCGCAATCTAGTTGTAATACAACTGAATCGCAGTAATGCTTTTCAACCAAATCTTTCAAGTGAAGAAGGTGATGTGCAGCAAAACATCAGCGTGAAGGCTTTCGAAGCACTTTTTGACGTTACATGTCTTTCGGCGGTTTATTTCCGAAGTTTCGTGGTATTGGGCACTTAGAATTACTTCTATGCGGAATCCTACTCACGTTTTGCCTACCCTGTTATCAATCAGTGATATGTGTGCGACAAATTAACTAAAAAGTGAAAAAGCGGTCTTCAAAAAGAATTTGAAAACTGTTTGGCCGTGTGTGGCATACGAGCTCGCCCGCGCAAAAGCGGGTTGTGCACGCATTGTGATAAAGGATTCCACTGCTGGGGACACTCGACTTATTCTAGCTTTATAAGTCTAGTCTAGTCTACCTCAGAATGTCCACATACTTTTGATACAGGGAAAGAACTTTTCATCAAAAATATGTATAATACTTTGCTAAATAGGAAGCCGAAAATATCTGTGTAGACTATCGGCCATGTGGAGTTGATTGATGGAGGCTTCGCGGCGGAAAAGCTTACTGGTGCGCTCCTTCACGTGTTCTAATCAGTTGGATACGAGTGTGACTGTTTGCGGACATCATTCTTCAGAAATGACTAGCCGCTAAAAGTTAACGATATCGTAAGTGCATTCTAGTGTAGTGGATGACCCGCACCTTAACCGTTGGGTAATGTCGGATCACGGTGGTTCCAACGCCGGCGCAGTATTTCTCGTTGCGTGACGTAGGGTTTAAAAACTCACGACCCAAAAAATTTCAAAATTCGGGTTGCACTCAACTTACCGATAATGCAGAAAAAGTGTACGGGAGGTGGACTACGACGTGAGGCTGAAATCTGTATACTCGTATGCGAAACCGGCAACGGCGAACTTCTAAAAATAGCTCAAAATACTTCCTGGTTGCAATCTATGCGGAACAACGAAACGCGAAGCAGCAGCGAAACTAAAATGCTGCTGGAGGTTCATTAGACAATTGAAAAGAACATACCCTTTCTGAAATGAGCGGTATCCGCTCATTGGGTTCATGTGGCGGACTGCATATTAACCTGTTTGCGTTTCAGGTCGGACATAGCAAGGGTAACGGAGTCAATTAAGGAGGGTTTGATTTCAGCTTAACTTTCGCCCACATAGGGGTTCAAGTTCATCCTCGACGGAACAGCTGTTGACTGCCTCTGAAAAAAAGTTTTTTCCAAAGTTTTAACCCCCGGCTCTTCTTGGGGGGTTTGGGGGGGGGGGGGGCGAGGCGCCTTAAGGACCACAGGCCAACCTGGAGAATCTTACTCCTGCTTGATTAGCCCCCCATTCCCTATGTTCAAGAAAGTCCAGTCGCAAGCGCAGTTTAAGGCAATCACTGGCACTTAGTCATTCCTCATTTTGGCAGGAATTGTCGTTCTTTTACTTTACTGCTTGTTGTGAAATGACAGGTCCCTAGAAGAAGTGGTCAGTCACGGACGTAGAACGTCTATGGCAAAGTCTTTTCTTGGTGGAGCGAGCGAGGGAAATGTTGTCAGCTTCACGATCGTAAACGACCGGTCAGTGTTAGAGCATGGTCGAAGAAAATTTCGCAGGTGTTTCGAAATCTATCTTTATCTGGCAGGTTCCGAAGCTTCCGACTCTCTTGGTGCAATATCCAAAAAATGAATTCTGTATGAAAGTATAATATTTTCAGCAGTACGTTGCGCATTTTCACTTTATGCAGCCTTCTCCAATTTACACTGACTTCCCCTATGGAAATTCATCGAGCGGACTATTCGGACAAATTCGCCCGTACGAAAATGCTGCCGCTGGCAGCAGCCGCCTACAGTCACTGGCCACAAGAGTGCCTTGAGAATCGCTTTGCTAACGCAACGGTAGGGAGAGTAGTCAGATTCAAGAACCTGTCATTATTTGATTACAGGATGTACTAGGACAATTCAGTTGATACGTCAGTTGAATGTGACATGTGGTCCCTTTGCAAACAACGATGTGTGTTCCGGATTCACGGCCGTGGTCCACGGCAACAAGGCGATTGTTATCAGTTTCAGGTTAGAAAAGTAAATGAAAATTATTTTCTCAAAATCATCCCGAAAGAAGGTTTCCAAGGATTTGTAGCACTTGGAATCATATTTTCAGAGGAACAGACACCTACCTCCAACTTGTTGCAGAAGCCGACCTGAGTGTGTTCCACGAAAAGGTATTCTTCATCATTACCGGTAATATTTATAAAGCAGCACATTATTCGTAAAACATCGAGGACAAAGTTTTTTAGTGTGCGCCGTGCACTTTACGAGACACTAACCACCAATACCTAATGCGACATTCAAACTTGCGCGATGTTTGTGTGGAATCTTAGGGAGATCGGTTAAAAACTCTATTATGACAGTACCAAGGCTCTCACTTACTTATAGCTTATATTATACTTATATTATATTATACTTATACTTATATACGGCTCGTCCTCAGTTCATCTGCGAGCACCAGCAACAAACCATTCGTTTCGTTCTTTCGCAATCGCATCCATGGTTGTTGTAGAAGTCGGCGGAGACGGCGATCTGAAGCATCGTTTAGCTGCATTCGCAGCTGCTTTATGTGATTGACGAGTGCATCTCCCCATCTCGCAGCAGGTCTCCCTTTGGACCGCGAAGATCCTACGGGAGCCCACTCTACCGTTCTTCTTGTCCATCTGTCATCTGCTCTCCTCATGATATGACCGGCCCATCGTAGCTTGGCGTTTGTCATGTACTCCACAGGGTCTCGGAGACGGGACATTCTGCGTAGGTCTGCGCTGCGGAGTCCAGCTCGATATTGAGTAAATCTATTAAACCTCAAAAGACATCGCTCGAGCGCTCTGTGAGCTACAGTCAAAGTCCTTGACGTGGATGCGCACTGCTCACCCATGTCTCTGCCGCGTAACAAAGCGCTGGAAGAACTGTAGAGTCAAACAAATGCGCACGAAGTTGTGGATCAGTCAGATGGTTGGCAACTTCTTTCAGAGGACCGAAGGCCGCCCACGCTGCTCTCTGTCGCCTTCCTAGCTCTTTCTTCATGCCGCTGTCCATGGTGTCCGTCAATATTGATTCCGTTTCCATCGGCAAGCGTTCTTCATGAACTGTGTCTTTTTTGGTTGATCTGCAACCCCACCTTCTTTCCTGCTTCATTCAATTCAGCGAGCATCGTCTCAGCTTCCGTAGTGCTACTTGAGAAAAGAACGATGTTATCGGCGGAGAAAAAACTGGCCGATTCAGAGTATAATATCCGTTACACGAATGCCCTTCTTAATGTATGCTATACGAAGTTATTACGCTGCAGCGCTGCTGTAAACAATTTTGGCGAGATAGTGTCGCCTTGTCTCACGCCTTCCCCCAAACGGGTGCTCGTTGGAAGAGTTGCACCGTTGCAGTGCAGCGACCATGGCAGTCGGCTGGTATTTATGTAGGGTAGTTCCACTCCTTGGTTGACTAACGCTGACAGGATCGCGTTCGTTTCTACACTGTTAGAAGCCTTCTCGTAGTCGACGAAGGTAAGGACAAGAGGCATTTCGGAATTCTCGGCACACTTCTATGACCATGGCGACTGACTGATGTGGTCTAAGCAGCTGGATTCCTGACGAAATTCGGCTTGCTCAGTAGGTTGTGGCTTCATTGTGCAGTTGATGCTGAAATCCAGTGAAGAATGGATCTCAGTGGATAGCTTTTGTACGCGAGCGCTAGCAAGCGTAATTGGACGGCAGTTGGCGAGGATCACACGGGTCCTTCCTTGTGAGGATGATTTGCGTGAGTTCTTCCACTGGTCTTGGATCCTTTCCTTCTGAAGAGAGTTTGTGAAGTGGTTAGCGAGAAGAGCGTGAAGTTGATGACCGCCTGCACGAAGCAAGTTGGTTGAGATTCTGTCGGGACCAGGAGTCGTGCCCCTTTCATGCCAGACTCCCCCTTCCAATGAATTTCAAAGATGAAGTCATGGCCGAGTCCGAAATTAACGAGACAAACACATCGATCGCCCAGCAAGCCAGAAGTAACTAAGATGGATTGTTGGTGATTATTCGTCGATTGTTTGCCAAAGCACAAAATGTGCAAAAACTCCGAATATATGGCTATGAGTTATCGCTTGAGGCAGTTAAATATGTAATAATTTTTTTTTCAATTCGAAGTTAATTGCAATGCTCACATGACTAGTCTTGATGAAGGTTTCGGTTCCCTTGTGAGTCCGTCCGGTGTGCGTTTATAGGGATTAGCATAAAATGAATGAAGATTGCGGATCCGATTATGAGGGGAAGGGGGGACCTGAGCAATTGCATACACCTCCGCTCTGCGTCTTGTCACCTTTTACCGGTGGCGATGAGGTGGCCGATCAGAAGGGAGCTCATCGTGATCGCATGACCATATGAGCCTTGCCCAAATGTTGTAGTTAGATTGTTTCCCAACTTTTTTGCTACCTAACGTGATGATTGAGGTAGCGTTCCGCTACGAGTATCAGTAAGTGTGAAATCATTCAAGTCTGAGATTGTGGTGAAGTGCATGGCGCCCTCCGTGAGACTCGCTCAAAGATATAAGCTTTGTATGCTATTATAAACTTAATAACTTATTATGATGACCAGATGAAGTGGAGCTCTGGCGGATACGTGTCGAAATACTTCTACGACGGCTTCATGGACCTGTGGAACGCCGGTATGAGAGACGATTTTATAGCTCTCAGAGCAAAGTATCCTAGGTACAATGTTTGGGTAAGTAAACGAAATCTAGTTTCAAGCACCATGATGAAATTAGGTGGTAAGAAGTAATCCCTCAGGGGGGTCTCCGAGCACTCTTTTGATTGAAACGCATCAAATTATGACATTTTGAAATACATGTAAACGCTCCATCATTCGAAACTAGTGAATTGTTGAGAAAATGAGCGAACATTTTTAAGGTGACGGGGCACTCTCTTGGAGCTGCACTGGCCTCACTGGCCGCCTCCTTCATCATTGCTAACGATCGAGTTCCATCCGGTCGCGTAAAATTGGTCACATTTGGACAACCTCGAGTTGGTGACCATCGCTACGCATGGGTTCATGACGAACAGGTGCTTTAGCTTGTACATTTTACAGTGGTACCGTACTTCACATCGTTTGAGTCACTTGCTAGTAGCTTTTCGAGGAATCAGCTGATGGTCGCGGCGATAGCATCCGATGCTTGCCTAGCCTTCGCGGAGAACAGATGGAATTCTTATGAAACCATGAAATATGCTCTGCTTTCAGATGGCATACAGCTTCCGCGTAACGCACTGGAGAGACGTGGTGCCGCATATTCCGCCCGAAAACTTCTTGGACTACTATCATCACGCCTCAGAGGCTCGTTTGGCACTCAGTTCCAGGGGTTTCCGCGGCTGGCTAAGGAAAGACCGGCTAACCCCAGTATTTGGATCATATGTAAATATGGACCAAATTAAACTAAACAAATACTTGCATTCAGCAAGGAGGTGTCTTTCGTGATCAAACATGGTGACATAGAGGCGTCCCTACTACCATTCCTTCTCCGGTCGCGTAATTCCTTGTTCAATACCTCATATTATCCTGATTTCTACATGTACCCCTTACCAGGGAAGGCATTCAACTTCCCATGGAACTTTGAATTGAGACCCAGATATATCGATAGAGCTTCAACGCTGATTACAAATATGGAAACTAAAACTGCAAAATGAACCTGCCAAGGAAGTTGTGAGCAGTCAAAGTTGGCTGGAAGTAAAGCGTTACGTATTAACCGTGCTAGCCTCCCTTTCAAAGTCGCCGTGGAGTAGTGGTAGTGCTCTCAAAATTTGCACTCCAACGGGAAGAGAACTTATGACCTCCCGGGTGGAGAGCGGGGGCACTATCGCTACTCCGCGGCGACATTGAAAGCCTGGAACATAGCACGGTTCATATGTAACGCTTTACTTTAGCCAACTTTGACTGCTCACAACTTCCTTGGCAGGTTCATTTTGCAGTTTTAGTTTCCATATTTGTAATCAGCGTTTGAAGCTCTATCGATATATCTGGGTCTCAATCTCAAAGTTCCATGGGAAGTTGAATGCCTTCCCTGGTTAGTCCCAATTCGCTCACTAACTGAAAAAGAGCAAGAGATGCGGCAAATAATAGCGACATTAGAAATAAACTGGCAAAATTCCCTACGGATACCTGTCCACGGTCACACGGCAACGCTGACCCATTCACACACAACCGAACCGCCATTCTTGCTACAAGTCAAGTGCAACCTTCCTAGCCTCATCTTGGTCTCTAGCGCTCTCCAACTCGCACTTAAGCTTGGTAGTGGTGCCGTTGCGAGATTCATGGGATGTCAAAACCACCATACAGTGTGCCACTTGAGAGCCTAACCCATCGGCGGCATATGCGACGACGCACCTTTTCGCCACGTGGGAGAATGCGGCTCGATGTGGGTATGCAGCATAAAAAAATTCCTTTGCAAGTTTCAAGTTTCTAGTAATCATAACTTGCCAGCAGTGTCCTTAGTACTATAGACACCTTGCTCAATGGCGCCATCTCCATTGAGCTCCAAATTAGTACCACATACGATGATCTCTTTTTTGCCACAAATTTCGCTTACACCTACGGAGAGGGGTGACTGATGGCCCTGAGCATAGACATAGAATCCGTTCTTGACACCGCGCCTTTTGGTGCTGGTGATTGCGCCACTGATACCTCAACTCTCAGTTCATGATTAATTTGCTGGCATCAGAAGTGAATGCCGTATCGTTTTCAAGACCATAAAGTTACCCCGTTCCACCCAACAGCGAAACTGGTGGCAAAAAAGCTCTGGCGCCAATCGACGCCATTCCTGTGACCCCTGAGGTTATGTTGGTCGAAAAAACTGCCTTCTGGGACAGCGCGTCTCAACATCGAGGAGCAAATAAATATGCTGCAGTCCAGCAAGCACAAGGAAAATCACATAGTCGCCAAATGGATTCAGTACTACTTGTGCAGAGGAATCTTCTTCAGGCCTTCTATCCTCTGAACATGACCGTCGGTAACAACTACACAGTATGCTACGGTAGGCCCATTCCTCTTAATCTCGTTTGTTTCTATTTACTAAAAGACTACATTTAGCCAATGAGAGCGATGAGTGCAGTGACGGTCTGCTTGACACAACCTCGATCCAGGATCACCGCCACTATTTCAACGTGGACGTGAGCGCCTATGGCATTAACGGCTGTAACACAACGATGGATCCCACGAATGCCCAGTAGGTATCAAGGCCTACAATCCATAGCTGTCTTATGGTCGGACCACTGCCACATTTGGCACTTAACACCTTGGAGCCCACGCAGCCCATATGTGGGCTGCAC